CCCCAAAACCCCAAAACCCCAAAACCCCAAAACCCCAGAAGGGGTGTTTATGATTGAAAGTTTTAGTTCAGGTTTTTATAGTGTGGATTAGAGTTTGTGTTCTTAGTGGGTTTTATATTTCTTTTGAGATGGGACTTTGTCTATATTAAATCATTAATGTTTGGAATTATGGAATTCATTGATTAGATATACACCACCTACTCCACTGCATAAACAGAAGGACTCCTCAGCCCATCCTTCTTAACTCTGTTCTGTATATTCCTCAATTGAGACCTAGGAGGAGGTCTGAGCGAAGCCTTGTACTGACCTGAAGTTTAGAAGAGGATTACTGAGAATGTTTAGAGGGGAGGAAGATGAGTGAGGGGTGGAAGAGGGGAATAGGGGTGGAGTTTTGTGCGGAGGGGGGTTTTGGAGGGAGGGCTTATTGATGGTGTTTGGAGGGTCTTTTTCTATGGGGTAGGTGAAGGGAGTTTGGGGTGGTAGTGGTTATTTAGGAGGGAATTGGGTTTGGTGGTGGAGATGTTTAAAGGGAGGTTTTGGGGAGATTTAGTATATTTGTGACCTCTCAGATAGAGGTATAGGCAACTTACTCATAGCTTCTTGATAGTCATTGTCCTTTGATAGCAAGTAATCCACTTTATTTTTAAGCTCTCGAATGGAAAAACTTAGATTTGTACTATCAAGGGCATAATTGTATGAGTTTAAAAGTCTATTTATATTCAGACCCAGGCAGCCCAACTTCGATGCAATCATACTCCTTGTCTAAATCATTTGGTTACTTTGCTTAATCAACATAAAAATTAAATTTTTGAATAACTTACATTTGGCAGATTCTTTGGCTTGAAAGTTCATTCTTTCTTTACCTCCTTCTCATTGTTTTTCATCTTCTGGACTGCTATCTTCTTCACTATTACTATCTCTGAGCTCTTGCTCACTACTACTCTGCTCTTCTTGCGCTTTCTTTTTCAGTTCTTCCAATATTGTGACTTGGCTTTTGTAAACTTTTTCAGCTTTTTCAAGATTTTCATAAATCTCATTATTTAGAGCTCTAGAAGATATCCAACCAATGATGAATCCTCCAATGATTTCATAGAGTTCAAAGATACCTCCAAGTTGGCCAGTTACTTCGAGGAGATCAGTAACTCTTCTCTCATAAAAGGTCTGCTCATAGTCTAGGGAAATAGTGCCTGAGAGTATTCCGAAGGTTTCAATATCCCAATCAGCAGGAATAGGGGCTACATTGGACATTATTGTATCTGAAGTCTTTTCAATCGAATGAAACTCTCCTTCTTCTTCTACTGACCAAGGAAAGAACCCATCTCTTTTCGTAAATGTATTCTTTCTAACCTTCAAGTCAACTCTTACTTTGTGGAATGAGTCTGGGATATCAAAAGTCTCATATTGAAAATAGTTTTGGACTGGTTCCTCAATATTTTTAAAGTCAAAGAATTTGTTGTCAATAATTAGCATAAGGCGAGCCCCATATATATATTTATTCAAGGTATCATGGTCTCTGACATCTATTTCTATTCCATTCTATATTTAAAGAAATTAATTTTCTCCTACCTAACAAAATATTATATAAAATAGGCAGCACTGAAAGAATAAAGCATACAATTAATTTATGTGCTCCTATTCAGAGAGTAAGCTCAAACATAAGTTGAGTTTTATAAGATTCAAACAACTGGTCGCTTAAAAGGAGAAATTTTGTACTAAAGTAAATACCTTATTAGCATTAATATCGACTTGAAATCTGATGACTTTTCTTTTCGTATTAAGACTATCTCCTTGTAACTCGAGTCCTTTCAAGTTCAGACACTTGTAATGATTAATGGTGTTCCCTAGTTTAAATATGTTTGGGAAATTATCTTCATTACAAGTCTCAAAATTTAAGGTAGTCGTGCTAGCACTCCCAGCTCCTGATGTATCCAGGTCAATATTTTCATAATATGCAGATACATTAAATGCTTCTGAAGCAGGAACTAAATCTGAGCCATCACTTCCAAATAAATAAGAAGAAATTGATGGCGTAAAATTAACAGCAATGTAAGGCCCATCTGTGAGTTTAATTCCTTCTGCAAGAGAGCCTGCTTTAGAGGTATACCCATATGCTCCATTATCTTTAAGGTCTCCTTTAAAGACACTACAATGTAACTTATCAACACTTACTTAACATTCGCAGTGACTTCTCTCCTCCTGAACATAGACATGAACAAAAGTCCTCCATAGATCGCCAAAAAAATGACTACCAAAATAAAACTGCATCCGCCTACAAACGAGCTATACCTATCACTTCCATTATGAGTGAGACATATTTTATGATTAAAGATATCTTTGGCTTTAATCCTGTCTTTAATCCAACTTAATATGCTCCTGAGTTTACCCATTTTTTTATTATGAAGAATTCTATTGGGGTTTTATAGTGAGGGGTTTTGGGGTTTTGGGGTTTTGGGGTTTTGGGG